TTGGATAACATTGTAAATGATATTTAATTTTTCATAATTGATATTAAATGATTTTTATAATGGAATAATTTTGAAGATGGTGTGAGTCCATTTATAAATTCGCCTAAGAGAAATTTATATAATCAAATTAAATATTGATAAACCAGTAGAAACATTGCCAGACTTCACATAATTAATTTATATTTTTCAATTGACTATGTTGACCTTTAATTTTTGTCTAAACAACAAAAAATGGACACTTTCAAAATAAACGGTCCATTTTTTCATAGATATTTGTTTGCATATTGAAAGTCTCTTCAATGTTTTTCAGCAGTTGTCTCGTAGCGTAATTTGTATCATTTAACAAATAGGTGTTATCAAGAGTTTTCATGTGTATTAGAACTGTTTATTCTAGATATAGTAAAATCGCATTAAATGTGAAGATGTCAGGTCTGAATTTTGGATCTTAAAGGCACAATTTTTATCTTTGATCTCAGTACTGATTGTAGAACACAACAGGAAGGGAAAAGAGAGAGGAAGTGCAATAGGTCGAGCAAACATTAAAGATTGGTGAGATTAATACTAATTCACCAACAAATTCTTTTCATTGTGAAGGAGTGAATTTTGCGAAGCTGAGTGAGTGATAGCGAATTTAGGGTGGAAAGTGAGAGGCGAGGTGAGAGAGCAGGGTGTGTGGAAGTAGGAAAGGGGTGAGGATAAGGGAGAGAGTATAGGGGAGCAGGAAAAGTGTAGTGAGTAGAAGGAAAAAGGACGGGAGAGAAGCGAAAGGAGGTTAGGGACAGGAGAGAGCAGTTGGCGGGAGAGGAGCGTGGGGAAAGGGGGAGACAGACGGTTAGGAGTTAGGAGCGGGAAGTGTAAAGGTGGGACGGTGGTGACACCGGACGGGAGCAGGGAGAATTGAGGGAAGTGTTTAGGCGGGAAATAGAAAGGAGCAGAACAGAAACCGAAGACGAGTAGGCTGGTAAAGGAGAAGAGGGAAAGGAAAGGTAGAAGGTAGGACAGAAAGAAGAGGAAAAGAGGAGTATGGAAAGAAAAGAGGAAAAAGTGGAGGGGGGAGACGAGGAGGCGAAGAAAAGGGGCAGGAAAACAAACGTCGAAAGGCTGATGAGGGAGAGGGGAGCGTCGATAGGGAGTTATGGGGATCTGAGTGAAATTTGGAAAAGGAAAAGGGAGATGGCGGAAGAGGAAGGGCAGGAAGAACGAGAGGAAGAATGGATGTTTAGGAAAAGTAAGAGGGTGGTGAGATCACCGGAGGGTAAGAGCGGGGGGGAGGGGAACGTGGAGGAGTTGTTGAAGGAATGGAGGGAATGGAGGAAAGAAGCGAGAAGGGACATGGGAGAAATAAAGGAGAGGATGGAGACTGTGGGAGCGGAGGTTGGAAAGATAAGGGAGGACATGAGGAGAGGAGAAGAAAGATGGAGAGAGGAGAAAGAGAGGATGGAGAAAAGGTTAGGAGAGGCAGAAAGAAAGATGAGAGAACTAGAGGTGGCGAAGAAAAAGGTGGAGGAGATAGAAAAGAGGGTAGGAAATCTGGAAAGGGAGAGAGGAAGGGAGGGAGGGGAGACAAAGGAAGGACGGAGCGAAGTGGGAAGGGAAGAGGGGGTGGAAAAGAGGCTGAAGGAGATAGAGAAAAAGATGGAGAGGAAGGAAAGGGAGGTAAAAAGAAACAATATAATAATAAAGGAGGCAGAGATAGAGGGAACAGCACAGCAGGTAGTGGATAGACTAATGGCAAGGATAGGAGTGAAAGGAGGGGTGGAGGGAACAAGAGAGCTGAGAAAAGTAGGAGAGGGGGGACGGGGGAGGATGATAGAGGTAAGGTTAGAGAGCACAGAGAAGAAGGTCGAAGTGATGAGGAACAAATGGAAGCTGCGGGGGAGGAGGGAAAGAGTAGAGGAGGACTTAACATGGGAGGAGAGAAGGATCCAATGGAAGTTGAGAAGGATAGGAGACGAGGAGAGGAGGAAAGGGAGACAGGTGAGGGTGGGATTGGGGAGGATCACGGTGGAGGGAAAGGTGTGGATATGGGACGGAGAACGGGAGACAGTGAGAGACAGTAGGGGGAGAGAATGGCAAGAGGAGAGGAGAGACGAGGAGAAAAGGGCAGGGAGGGAAGAGAAGAAGGGAGAAAGAGAAGACGGGGGCGAGGAAACGGAAAGGAGCACAAAAAACGAGGAGAGATGGAGGGAGAGGGACAGAGGGGGAAAAGAGGAAGCAGGGGGGAAGAGGGAAGAGGANATTATAGAAGAAATTGTACATGAAGAAGCTTTGCTATATATCGCCAGACTTATTTTTGATATGTTTACGATTTTTAAAATTCGCTGTTATAATATGAAGTGTGATTGGTTAGAAATCTCAAATGGCTGACGAGTGGAAGCGTTCGTGATTAGTTGTTCAATTGGATACGTAAGAACACAGCTTATGTTTTTACATCATGGCATATCCTAAAGGGCGAAAAAAATATTTTGGCCCTTGAGTTTCCGTAAGGCTGCCATTTTTTAGTAATCTCTCCTCGGTGATATTATTGTTAGGTTCCGTTCTTACCTACAGTGTCGGTTCTTGTCTATGATACGATTGAACCGTTTCGAAATCAGTCCATTTGGTGCAGCACTTTCGATTAAGTAACGACGAAGAAATCCCGGTGGCGAACACTCTAATTTTCTCTCAGTTGTGATTAAAAAATAGAGGAACTCGGTAAAGTGTTGACCAGTTGATCGTTCGTTTGGTGCACGATGCCTCTCCATCGTTATACGCATGCAGTTCTATGCAGAATCCCGCTTTCGCTACGTACGAGAGGCGAGGTCACGTTGAACGAAGCCAGGACTCAACATTTGGCGCTTGCTCAACTTTTGCGAGAGCTCGACATCGACGTTGTCGAACTGCCGCTCGACGAAAATTCGCCGCTATGCGCCTTCGTCGAAGACATCGCGGTTGTCTGCAATGGGATCGCACTTATAGCACGACCGAGCGAACCGTCCCGCTTAAAAGAGGTATATTTACATACTATGATATCATATATAGGATGAGTCGGTTGGTACGATCACTTTTATTAGGAAACTTGACAAAATTGCGTTTCCGTTTTTGGAAATACAAGGACAGTCAGTCGTATAAGAAATTCATACGTGAAAATTTGTTTTAAAAGTCNAGGAGAATAATGTTTGAGAAATCATGCACATCACTTTCAACAATTTTTGAGTTAATAACATTCCTGAATAATAAGCATTTTTTTTTTATTTTGTGCTCTCGTTATTCAATTTATCCAAAATAGTATAAAGATATTAAGATCGATCATTAACATGAACACAGACGATATACAGTGACGTCCACTGAGTTGAGACTCGCTTGAGTGTTTCTTGAGAACGAAGCCTGAAATGTGCAAATTTTATTTTCTATTTTTGACATAGAATCAGCCTCTATTCGGTTATATCACAAATTATGTAACACCCTGTACATTTTATACATTAAATAAATAGGCGTTAGGTAATAATTATATAGTCTCTGGTTTAATTATGCTATACAACACAAATTCTTTGCAATATCCAGTACATGATTCTTATATAGAGTTCCATATACCAGAATCCTTAAACAAAAATGGTCAATCACGTATAGTTGCTCAAAACTGTTTTTGTAAAAATGCACCATTTTGGGAAAGATGAGGTATTATATGAAAATTATAAGAGTGTTAATTTTTTAATCAAGAGGTAGAAAAGACTCTCCACAATATTTCTACGTAAACAATTTTTTGTTTTTAGTACTTTTTAATAGTTGTAAATATTGGATTATGGATTATGGATGGAAGGACGATTGCACTAACGAAATCACTAGAAGTGAGGAAGAGCCTACCGTCCCTCAAAAGGGCCGTTTAAAATTGAAACATTATTCAAGCATCAAAATAAGTCTTTTATTTAACCCATAATCTAATAGATTATGGGCCCAGTGAACGTTTTTTATTGACTGTGCATTTTAGAAGCCTTTGAGTGATTGATTAAATAGTGATTAAGTGTTAATTGAACTCTTTGTAGTCATACCTTATTTTAAGTGATAATATACTGTAAAAAGTAGTTGAAGTGTTCGTTAATCACATAAATAGTAACTATGGAAGGTTTAAAACTAAAGAGAAATATTAAACTCTTCGGTGGAGAACGATATAGTATTTGGAAATTGAGAGTGTGTGCTATAATGAGTGAACATGACGTAATTGAAGTGATTTATGAAGACGCTCCGGATATGTTAACTGCTGAATGGATCAAAGCTGAAAGGATTGCAAAAAACGTAATAGTAGAATATTTATCTGATTCATTTCTCGGATTCGCAAAACCAGGAAGCACAGCAAAAAACATTTTAAAGAGTTTAGACAAAAATGAGCAAAAGAGTACTTAAAGCTATTCAACTAGCTTTAAGAAAAACATTATTAAGTTTAAAATTAGAAGATGATACACCATTTGTAAGGCATTTTACGGTTCTTGATGATCTGATCACAGATTTATTGGCAGCAGGAGCTAAATTGGAAGAGACAGACAAAGTATCGCATTTAGTTCTAACATTGCCTACAATGTATGATGGCGTTATAACTGCAATTGAAACTTTCCGAGGATAATTTAACTATAGCATTTGTGAAAAATCGTTTACTGGATCACGAAGTAAAATTAAAAACTGAAAGTGCATGTTCTAAAGTGCTTCAAACTTATGAGCAAAAATAATCCAATAGTAAATAATTGTTAAAGTGTGGAAAAACGCGAGTATTTTATACATATTATTTTTATATTCATATGAAATCCATTTATTCAGCAGGAATTTATGGTACTGAATTCCACAGACATGTCCGACAAAAAAATGACGTAGAAANTTAATAATCACGTTTTTTTTTAAATTAAATCTTCAAAAATTGGTTGAATTTTATGAGTTGTATTTTTAAAATTGCTGGCACATTAATAAAAAATGGCCGCAGTTTTATTACTTTTTAAGGTGGAAAATAGTTGTTTGCACAAAAATGTGCTATCAAACATAGATTCAGTGTTGTCAAAAGTTAAATAAACGCATTATCAATCTAGGCGTGGCTCTTGTTTGACATGCTTGCTCTATTTAATCAGTTTGCCATTACTCTTTTATGAAGGTACGAACATCACTTTTAGTTTTTTAAATAGAATGGCTACTATTTCTTATTAAATTTGAATAGGGGATGAAATTTTGTTTAAAATATTATTTGTAGTTATTTAAAACCGTCACGTTATGAGAATCATTTTGCATATTTTATGAACTCATTTGCATCATAAGCTTATATATGCAGGAAATTTCCCTGGTCATTAAAACCAAAACGCAAATATGTGCATTTTTGGTGATGTGGGCCAAATTGTTTTTTTTGTCACTTTTTGGAATAATGCAAATGGGTTAATAAGAGTGTAAGAAATGGATTATTAAAATCTGATTAATCGTTATAGGACGTGAGTTCTTTGTTGGATTATCTCATTATACGAACGAAGCAGGTGCGAAAGCAGTAGCAGCAGCATTCCCAGAATACCCGTGTGCACCTATTAAGGTCAGTTAATTACAAATATAATAATAATAATAATAATAATAATGATAATAATAATGTAGGCAATTGGCAGTTTGGTGTTTATGACGATTGGGAAAATTAGAGTCGTGCGTCGATTGGTTCGATGCCTGATCGAATAGAGGCGATTGGCCGACTCTTTTTCTCCTATAATAATGTACTTTATGTTATTCGCTTTTTAAGATCGTCGTATTAATCTGTCAGTCTGATGTTTATACCCAAATCTAGTTTTAATGTGTCTAAAGTATTGCATGATTTATTCAAGAAACATTTGGACCGTTTATTTTGAAAGTGGTGTAAGTCATTTTTTTTATAAAATGAGATATCGAATTTGTGATTAATTTAGTATAAATTTTTTATCTATAATTTGTTAATATTTAATATCTTAAAAAATACCAATGCTTTGTCTAATTCAAAATTGACCAATAAAAGAAGTTGCGTAGCCATTGAGTGTGAAAGTGGTGTAAGTCCAATT